TTGGTTGACAACTTTGGGTCTAACTACTTCATTTATATAATTTCCATAGTTTATACTTGTTTAAATTACAGTGTTTAATTTAAAACCTCTGCGATGAACTTATTATGTATTGAATTCAGTACCTTATTCCTCAGCTATGGTGTGCAGAAACTGAAAATAAGAAAAGCATTAGATAAAAATGAGCATCCAGTAATTCCATACAGCTCTGAAATGTACTCAGTGTTACAGTTAATGGTTTGAGCAAAGGGAAACAAACAAACAGAGGATCCAGATTTCACCGTTGCAAGTTTCACTTGTTGCACCATTGTAAATTTCAAATGGCAGCTGCCTATGTAAATAATGTAAAAATAAATTTGGATTGGATAGTTGCCGGAAGATTTAGCACATACACCAAATATTCAGTGCCTTAGTATAAGTTGTCAGCTGTTGGCAGACTTCCCATTCATGAAGTAAGTGGCTACCTCACAGACCAATAATGTTACATTATTGAGAACCAGTGTGGCATATTGCTTAGAGTGTTAGACTGGGGACCTAGAAGATCTGGGTTTAAGCCGCTGCTCCCCCATGAAGCCCACTGGGTGGCTTTGGACTTAACCCTAACCCAGTCATTCACTCTCAGCCTAACCTACTTCTCGCAGAGTGGAGGAAAATTATGTAAGCCATCTTAATTCCTCACAAAAGGAAAAAGGCAGGATGTAAATGTAATGTAATAATAGTAATAAGAGGAGAAGCAGCTAGGTTTATTAACAGTTCTTTCAAATGCGAACTTCTAGTACTGGCAAACCATTTTGATGCCTATTGATTGGTATAGCTTTTCATCATATATAGCTGTTGCCTTTTTATATGATGCAATGCTACCCTGTTGCTATGCCAATCTGTTCCGATTTTTGCCTTTTGATTATGATTATTTTCAAAAGAGCATCATTTGCAATAATTTGTCCTGGATCCCTACTAAATGGAAAGTCAGCCTTCTTAAGGATCATTATTGCCCTGTAATATATTTGAGATTTTTTTTTTTAAATGTGCCATCACTGACATTACAAAGAACAAGACTGATCTCTAGTGTAAGGAGCATACAATCTAAGAAATCTTAATTTAGGGCTTCATATTTTGTTATAGAGTTGAAGCCTAGTTATGGAGTAAAACTGGGGGGCCTCCTTCCCACACAGTTGGAAAAAACATGGTAACTTCTTGAATTGCAGTTTGCGTGCATGCTTCTGTGCAAAATAGGCGCGGCAGGAGCAGAAAAGATCATTATACCTCTATTCTCTAGAAACAAAGGCTATAGCAAACTACTCTTGTGTTTCGGTATGTGGGTGTGGTGTTGGGGTGGGGTTGTTTCAGGAGAGAGAGAGAGAGAATGTATACAAGTCCTTGTTCGGGACTCTGCTCATATGTCCAGAGGGCACTGCGAGCAAAAATAATTTTGTTCATGTCTCATGGTTTCCAACACCTGATTTTTTAACATTTGTGTTTCAGACCAGATTTGAAGCCCTTTTTAAAAAATATGACAAAGATGTCACCTTTCAGTATTTTAAGAGTTTTAAAAGAATAAGGATAAACTTCAGCAACCCATTGTCAGCTGCAGATGTTAAAATTCGATTGCACAAGACAGAGTTCCTTGGAAAAGAACTAAAATTGTATTTTGCTCAGGTAAGACATAGAAACCTATTCGGCAAAATCTTATTGCTCTGTTATCCATGTTGTCCCTCATGCTTCTTCTACTAGACTCTTGAAGGCAGCATTCTGGCCATGCAACAATTCTGTCAGGTGGGTTAGGATGGTGATTTGAAAGATTCTTTAGGTAGGAAAATGGTGATTTGCCTCATGATAATTTAAGAGCCACGCTGGATCAAACCAGGGGTCCATCTAGTCCAACATGGCCAGCCATTTGCCAATGGGAAGTAACTTTCCTAGTTGTGTGGCCCAGCATGCAGTATACATAGACAGTTTTCCTCTAATATGGGAGGTAGTATATAGCCCATCATGACTAGTAGTCATGGTAGCCTTCTCTCCCATAAATTTGTCTCACGAGTTCTAAGCTGAATGGACGTTTGAAACAGTATCAAACCTACACCTTACAGACAATAGGATTCAGGTGTAGTTATATTTTAAGCTACACCCAATTGATGTAATATTTTTATACCTAATATGCTGTCATTTGAGCAGCTGAATTGTGGTATCAGGTAATTATAGAATCTGCTGAAACAGCAATTTCAGGGAGAGGATGAAATTGCTCTGTCCAGTTTCCCAAGAACAGTAAGCATAAAACCACTAGTGACAGAAATAGTAAGTAGAGTTTTCAGATCAACATTACTCTTAAGCTGTGTGGAAGTCTGACATTTGTTCTGCTACTTCAGTAACACTGAAATGACTTCCCGCCTAGACTTCTGTAACGCGCTTTACGTGGGGCTTCCCCTGAAGACAGTCCGAACACTTCAATTGGTGCAAAATAGAGCTGCCAGGTTGCTGACGGGGATGGGACGTTATGCTCACATGACTCCAGTCCTCCGTCAGCTTCACTGGCTTCCCATTGAAGCCCGGGCCCAATTCAAGGTGTTGATTATGGCCTATAAAGCCCTAAACGGCTTGGGTCCTGGCTACCTGAACGAGCGCTTACGTCCGTATATGCCCGACCGCCCTTTGAGATCTGCGGGAGAGTCCCTTCTCCGGGAACCCTCCATGAAAGAAATTAGGAGAGTAAGTACCCGGAGGAGGGCTTTCTCTGCGGTGGCGCCCAACCTATGGAATTCACTCCCCAAAGAGGTCCGCCTGGCACCGTCGTTACTGGTTTTTCGGCGCCAGGTAAAGACCTTTTTATTTAAACATTTCAATTGTTAAAACATATGATCTGGCCAGGGCAACCCCTTCTTCCTTCTCTTTCTCCCCCTATATTTTTATTTTATACTGATAATTTTAATTTTATATTTGTAAATCAATGTATTTTTTGTATTTTTATATTTAATGGTAATTTATTATGTACTATTGTATTTCAATGTATTTTATCATGTTGTAAGCCGCCCCGAGGTTTCAGCAAGGGGCGGCATAGAAATGTTATAATAATAATAATAATAAAAATGGTTGTTAAGAATCGTTTTGCTGACCATCTTGTTAGAAGACTCTGCATGCTCTCAAAAAATGTAACATGAGGAATTGCCATATATAATTTAGCTTTCCAAATAAGTTTCAATAAGATTTTTTTTGTATTTTATGATTTGACAGTGCTTGTCCAAATTTCCCCTGAGATTTCTAGAGAAAATCATGGCAATGAAATTTGATTTTTTTTCTGGGTTTCTTATTCTCCTCCCGCCATCCCACCCAAACATCTAAAGCTGGACTCTGAATACTGAAAATATTTATTTTATTGATTTACTATATTTATATGGACTGCTCAATACCATATTTTCTGCAATAATAAAATACTATATTGAAATATAAGAACAAACATACAACTTACCAACATACAAACTTTTCAACTGTCAAAGAAAGAAACTAGTTTACTGGCATAATAGCACCTAAAATATCAAGATCTCAGAACTGAATAACACAAATTACTTATAATAGCTGGGTGAATAAAAAAGTAGTCACATACTGCCAAAAAGACCCTATGGAAGGTGTGAGGCAAGTCTTGGGATGTGTGGGGGTGGGAGTTATTCTGCAACCAAGGCACCACCACCCATGTACTTTTGTTTCAGATTAAAATGCAAAAGAAGATGATTCTACAACCTTCTTGAGTGTCACTGAACTGCTTAAGCTATTTTCATTTCGATACAAGACAGATTAGTTGAATTGTTCTAGTTAGGACGATCTTGTCAAGTCCACAAAGCATGCTAGGCTGTGCTGGCCCTCCTCTGTGGCCAACATGGAGCTGAATGGTACTAGCCCCTTAACAGAGTAGTAAATAGAAGCTTTTGGTGTGCAGGTTGGCAAAAGAGGGATGATAACTCTGTTCTTCTTCGGCCAGCATGCTGTGTTTGTATGCTGGACGGGGAAAAAGAGGCTTCCCTTCCTCTGCAGACTGAATGCAAATGAAGTAGGCTGACTGGACAGGTGCAAACTATTAGCCCTCTGCCAGCCCACTCACATGCCTGCATGTGATTGCTGGTCACCCATGGCAACTAGGCAAGTAGTTCAGTAGGAGCCTGACTTAGAAACATTTTCTAAGAATTCTGTAAGGATGACCAATAGCTCAGTACTTAGTTCAGCATCTCCTTTTCATGGAGAAGGTTCCTTTTTCAATCCCCAGTATCTCCAATTAGGATCAGAAAAGACTTCTGTCCAAAACCATGAAGAGTCACTGTAGACTTTACTGAACTTAGCTGGCCAGAGGTCTAACCAGTGTTTCATTTTGCATGATCAGGCAACACATAGCTTAACAAATCATGGATTGTTATGTTCACAGGAGTGAGTGAGCAGGCTGGTTCTTGTTTGCCTGTTGCTGCTTTGCTACACCCAGGAGCACCCTGTTCCTGGGTGGATGTTGTGCTGTGTGTACTCAGCATTCTAGATTATTTAAATAATCTAAATAAACCAGTGTTTTAACCCATTATTTGTTGTTGGATTGGAACTCCATGTTGTTTAACTCTGAGTTCACATATCACAGCAACAACTCGGCAATGGGGTGCTCCAATGGGAGTGGACAGGTGATAGCACACTTGCTTGCTCCAGAATGGCCATAGTTAACTGTGGATTATTTAACTGACACCTAATTTTTGCAGACCAACGTCAGAAAGTGTCTTCTGTTCTTTGGTATTTTGGTATTTTTTGGTAACAAGATAGCATGACTAGGAGCTTAGCTCACTTTAAAAGATCTCTTTTTGCCATTACCAGAGTGTAGGACACAGAATAACCAATTCCAATTGTGACAACCCAGATTCAGGCTGGACATCAGGAAAAGCTTCCTGACTGTCAGAGCAATATGACAGTGCAACCAGCTGCCTAGAGAGGTGGTGGGCTCTCCCACACTAGAGGCATCGAAAAAGAAACTGGACAGCCATTTGAGTGGGATGGTGGGACTTGGTGTCCTGCAATAGCATGGGATTGGACCCAGTGGCCTTCATGGCCGCTTCCAGCTCTACTATTCTATGATTCTGTGAAAATTGGCTAGAAGAACCACAATAGCTGAACAGTGTCTTTAGATTTTTGCTCTTACAGATTTTTGTTCATTAGAGGGTTCTGTCATTGGGTGAAATCCAATATTGTATGAGTGAAAAGCAGTGCATCTTTCCCCTTCTTCTGCTTTACCTCAGACAAGCCTTTCTGGAGAGTTGTGGGGCAACAAGTTGAGAAATGTATGTTATGCAGTTGTCATGGGAGGGAATTGCCTAAATTAGGAACTTCATGCAATATTCCTCTGCCTGATTTCAGACGAATTCCCCCAGCTACCCACAAGCACAAAGAATAGTCCAGTAATACACATTTCATAGTGGTATGAGGAACCCACCCTCCATCCTTCTTGAGAAACTGTTTTTAGGAACAGTACAGAAGGAAGAAGAGGAGGAAATCCATTAGACAAGCTTACATTCCACTTGTACACCATTGGATTTCAGCCATTACTGGTGCTTCCAGGAATAGCTTTTATCATGTCATCACCCTTTCTTATTCATATTTACATGGGTTCCAGACATAGTTATTCCCCTGTTGGAAATCACCCATGTTTTCCTACTGCTGTTTCCCTCTTTTTTACTACAGAAAATTTGCACAATCTCTTCTAATTGGTAGTGCTAAGAGCAGAAGCACGTTAAGATTAAATCTTTCCTGGTTTCATTAGGGTCTTGTCAGTACTGACACACTTCTGTCTTCTCATGAGTTCCATTCTGTGTTGTCCCTTTGAGTGTTACCACAGAACATTTGTGCCACCTTGTATATGTTCGTTTAAAAATCAGTAACAACATTTTTTAAAAAATCTTTCCAGTCTTTGCATATTGGAAGCCCCCATTTAGCACCACCAGCTCCAGAAAAGCAGTTTCTGATCTCACCTCCATCATCTCCGCCTGTTGGTTGGACACAAGCCGATGATGCTACACCTGCCATTAACTATGATCTTTTATATGCAATCTCTAAACTAGGACCAGGTAAGAGACTTCTGTACCTGAACTCTAAAAGCTTAGGTTCATTTCGTTTTACAGCTGATTTGTTAATAGTTCCACTTAATGCACGGTGGTGGTGTGTATGTGAGTGATTGTGTGAAGAACCTTCTGGATGGAGAGAACAGATTTTATTCCTCTGCAGGTATTAATTAGCTACCAATGACAGCTTTTTTGTTGTTATCAACACTTTACCAAAAAGAATATGCTCCAAAATGTTCCCAGCAATCTGTTTCTTCATCAATTGTGTGTTTCCAAAGTCAGCTGAATCCAGAGGCCAATTCTCAAAAGCAGCATAGGGTTCTTTCCACTCTCCCATGTGCCTTTGAAACAATATTGATATCCCAAACTAACAATATGGAAAATGACTTGTAAGAGAACATTCTTATTCCTCCATTACATTAAAAGAACTAAAGGGTTCTTAATGTGTCCTAAATAAAAAGACATAATGATTATAACTCCCAGATACCATTCCAGCTTGGGGTAGTTCATAGGAGAATAGATTTAAATCCTTTTCAGGCATGCTAAACTAGAATAAAATAAACATATGGATATAGGATTGCCATAGTCCTGCTCCTCTCCCTCAGTGAATATCATTTCCCTCTATTTGTGGAGGCAAACAATATGAAGCAAGGAGCTTCCTCTGTCCATGTGACCTAGAGCACCACTTCTACCAACCTGAAGCCATGCTAACAAGCCCAAAAGAACCCAAAACCTGGACCAGAACTACTTCAGTCAGCTCATTTCTAAAAGAAATGACATTCCAGCAAGAAACGAGTGCTCTCAGATTGAGGGTCTTTTAAAGGCATACTTATTTACATATGAAGAAATGTGGAAGTATTATTATATGGACATTTGTCTGATCGCTTTTGCTGTTTTAGGGGACCAGTATGAACTTCATGCTGCAACTGAAACTACTCCCAGTGTTGTTGTCCACGTGTGTGAAACCGATGAGGCTCACGAGGCACTAGAAGATGGAGAAGCTGCTAAGAAACCAAAACCAAAAATTATACAAACCAGGAGGCCAGACTATGTGCCTACTTATCAAAGCTGAACAACATAGAGCTTTCAGGTGTTTCAAACTGGCATGCTCAAGGGAGGCATTGATGAAATGATGAGTCACAATTTTGATGTCGTTAAGAGGCAGAAGCAGAAATTCAAACAGAAAGATACTTTGAGAAAGGGAATATCTTCATTTGTTTGTCTTTAAGTGCTGCTCTTTGGCTCATGAGACAGTTCTCAACCTGAAGCTCCTGAATGGTTGTCCAGAAGAATAATCAAACATGGTGACTTTGGAGTGAGTCCGTCTACTGTTTGTGCTTAGGGAGATTTCCAAATATTCTAGATTTCTGTTACAAAGCAGCTGGGGATGCCTCTGCTCTGTATGTGTAATATCCTATGAGGAGTTATCTAATTCATAGGTTAGATGGTATGGCTGCAATTCTAAAATACACTCATCGGTGAATTCATCCTGGGAATCAGCAGAACAAGTTACTGGGGGTATTAGAAATGCAGTCTGTATATGGCAACTAGTGAAAAAGACAGAATTTTGAAGAAGTAGGATATTGTTAATCATTTTTAATGTTAGATTTTCTGCATGCATGTAGAACTTCAGAAGTAAGTTTCTTTCTAATTTTATGTTGTTGAGGAAAATTTCAGATACTAATTTCTCAGCTGTCATTCTGAATTATGTTTGTATTGGCTTTCATTTTTCAGTGGGAACATATGCTTAGTAAAACTCATAAGTTTGGTGCAATATCCCTTTTTAATGTTAACTGCCAATGTATGGTTTATCTAGAAAATGTATAAAATACTTGTGCAAATTTTAAGTGGGTGACTGATTTTAAATTGTTCTAAATGAAATTATTTATTTTGGTTTAAACCATCTTGACTTCTTTACTGATCAGAAGTACAAGAAACCCGGAGACTAATATTGTTACAGTACGCAAACAGTGAGAGACTATAAGTTGTATTTTCTTAGTCACGAATGTGTACATTTATAACTGTTGCTGTTAAATGTTGTTAATGGTGCTTGAGCACAGCTAGTGTGATAACAAATGTGAACTATGGCATTTGAGAAGAATGGAGTGCCTTTTTTCATTAATTCTGGGGGAGGGATGATTGTTGTACTAGCTCAAAGCTTAGGTTGTTTTTTATTGGCAGTGGATGTTTGATAGAGCTCTCTTATGCTTAAGCATCATCATCTATGATGTAATTCCCAGTATTTGATGCAAAGCCACAATATACATTTCTCAGTGCTTTGCTGTAGGAGCAGTGTTCTAGTAGCAGCTGCTAAAGTGGTAGCAGCAAATAATGCTTGAATAAAGCTTAGGTGCACAGTAACATCCCATTTCAAGTATTTCTAAGAATTTCCTTTTAGAATGGATTCTTAACATTAAATTGAAAGGTTTTAAGAATAAACATATTTCACAATTTGTGATGACTTAACCATGGTGATTCTTCTTTTTATGATGGTAAGGGATTTCACACTGCTTGTACCATTTTTGAAATAAAAAAGCCTGATATTTTCATACACATGCCAGTAGCACTCTGTTTTAGGAGAAGATGTTCTGTTAGTTTCAAAAAGAGAAATTCAGTGACAGGTTTTCCAAGTTCTACCATCCATTTTAGAACAAATGTAGCTAATGCATTATAAATAGCTATATAAAGTCAGCAGTACTGAATGTACTATATTTGTATTATTCCTATTTTGCCCAAAGTATATGTTAAAAGCTATGACACTAATGCAGTGCAAATACAAATGGAATAGCCCTATGTATTTTGTTTTTGTTTTTCAAAGGAAAATAAAAGTTTAATAGACCCAGAGCAATTCTATTTGTACCAAATAAACATTAACAGGTATACAATCCTTTAATTTGGGATCTCCTCTGTACTTGTTCCTGTGTTTCTTCAACACAAATACAGGATCTAAGATGCTTTTTCCTCTACTGTGTCAACTGCTTCAGCTGAAGGATTATTATCTACCTACATCATTAATATATTGTCCCACATCTAAACAGATTCTGGACAAGGAAAGACCAAAGGAATGGAACAGAAAATTATTTATTTATTTATTTAAAACATTTCTATGCTGCCCCCATCGCAACAAAGCCTCGGGGCAGCTCACAAACACAAATTAGAGTTGTTTAAGTAGAGAGAGAGAGAGAAACACACAGAGAGGATACCAGTAAAATAGTGGTTGGTTGATCAGAGAAAGCAGGTTGAAATACCTTCAGCAGATAAAGACCAGAGATGCTGGAAATAAAACAGTGCTAGTGCCTGCCTGCCCTCCAGAGATGGGGAATTCCATGGAGAGGAAGCTAGCACAAGTGAAGGCTCTTCTCTGGCTGTGGGTCTGATGATCTCAGGGATTGGGTAGGTTGGTAAGGGACATGTCCTTCCAAGTATCCTGCTCTCAAATTGTATAGCTCTGAATAATCAAGTCACTAAACTTTCCACTTGACACGGGAGCAAATAGGTAACCAGTGTCATTCTGTCAGCAAAGAAGTTGCAAGCTGTGAAGGAGCAGCTTTGGATAACAGCTGAGCTGCATTAGTTGTAGCTTCTGGACCAGCCCATGTATTGAAGTTACTAATGGATGCACCACAGTATCCAAGCTATCTTTGTCCAGGAGAGGTTATAGCTGGCATGCCAATTGCAGTGACAAGGCTGTCCAAATCTTCAAGGCAATTGGGGCTCCTGTGGCAGAAATGGATCTAGCAGTAACTGCAGAACTCCCACCTGATCACACAAAGGGACCACAGCTCCACTCAGAACAAGCAAGATCTCATCTCCTGCACTCAGAAACCATATACCCCACAGGGATGCCACCTTGGCAGGTATCTTGCTAGATCAGTCTTGATTGAGGGTTGGGAATGAACTTACTGCAGCCTGTCCCTCTAGCACTCATGGACTTCCTATTGTGCTTGGCCTAGTCTTGCAGAGTCCACAAATGTTTGCAGAATGAAGGTTGTGCAACCTTCTTCTGTGTCAGGTACAGTAGCACAAAGGCTGCTGCAGATGGTGCAGAAGAGGGACATAACTTGCACAGTAGTGGCATGGAGACCCATGCCTGGCAAGTGGCGAGCATGCCCTGCAAACACTGGGCATGCTCGCCAAGAACTCAGGGCCAGGGCCACAACTCAGGGCCACAACAAAGTGGAGTCCAGTGATCTGAGCCCAAGGAATCTGTTGGGTTCCCAGCCCCAATATGGTTCTTCCACATCCCTTTTTTGATCTATTGTCCCTTATCCAGGTTTGTTCATTCTCCATGGATTCAGATTACAGATCATCAATATTATCGCCAGGTTAGAGTCAGTGCAGCATAGGGCCACAAGGTTGGTGGTCGGTTTGCAGGGGATGCCGTATGAGGTGAGACTGAGGGAAGTGGGGAAGAGGAGACTCAGAGGGGATCTGTTGGCGACATACAGGTATGTGAGGGGGTGTCACACAGAGGTGGGTAGAGATCTGTTCTCCTCTGCAGAGGAAGGCAGGATGCACTCCAACAGAACAAAGCTCAGGGAACCCAGGTTCAATTTGGATGCCAGGAAGTACTTCCTGACAGGACCCCGAGGGTATGGAATGGGCTTCCACGGGAGGTGGTTGAGGCCCCATCGGTGAGGGTGTTCAAAAATAGGCTGGACATGCACGTGGTGGGCATGTTGTGAGCGGAGCCGGCTGGAGCCGGGGGTCAGACTAGATGGCCCGAGAGGCCCCTTCTGACTCACTCTCTATGTTTCTAATATACTAATGCCATTTAGTTGCAAACCTCTAGTTATACTCCCAGTTGCTTCAAATGAATGTTGAGCAGTATGGGAGACAAAGTTGTACCCTGCAGAACCTTAAGGCCCAATAGCAAGAGGGGAGGAATGTTCCTTTTTGAAATCAACCATTGCAATTAATGTTCAACTCGCAGACTCAGTTCAGGCAGATACTGCAGTCAATGCTATCAAAAGCTGATGAGAAACAGAGCTCAATTGAGGGCTCCCTCACCCCTCTGTTAATAAAGGTGATCAAAGCTGATCTGATCCACCAACCAGATCAAAGCGTGGTTTGGAATGGGTCAAGATAAGCAGTATTGTTCAGAAGTGCTTGCAGTTGCTTTGCCATGACAAATCTCTAGTGCCCTCCATAAGAACAGAGTACTCATAACTGGTGATGTCAATTGAATTCTATTGAGTTGAGTGAGTTTCTTCAGGAATGTGCTTACTACAGCTTCCTTCAGGTCAGCAGGAACCCATGCCTTCATGTAAGGATGTATTTCGCACTCCCTCTGCTCACCTGCTCATATCCCATTGGTCACTCTTATTAGCCAGGAATGGCAAGGATCAAGTATTGTTTTTACAAATGTCACCGAGTTCAATAGGATTAATGCATACATAATTATACTTAAATTGTAATCTTGCAAATCCTGCAAATCCTACAATCCTGCTTCAGTTCCATTGATGTCAAAGGTTTAAATTGCCTAATTGTGTACAGAGAATTGCAACATTAGTCCCATGGGACATAAAGAGGCTAAGTCAGCTTAAATCTTAGTATTTTATCTTGCCTGCTTGAGGGGTTTTATCTATGTTGCCCAACTGCTACTTGATCTTCAAGTATTATGTACAGAATATAAACAAGGCAAGCATCATATATTACGTATAAGACAGAAATACACCTCCAGAGGCACTCTGAAAAAACTCTGCTCACAAGTATTGGAGCAAAAAATTCCCAAATTCAAGTATAGGTTGATGGGATCTGAGGAAGCAGTGTCTGAGCAAGACGGGAATCTTGGGGTGGTGGTGAACAGCTCAATGAAGATGTTGGCCTACTGAGCAGCTCCTGTGAACAAGGTAAAACCATGCTAGTTATATGATGGAATAGGAAATAAAACTGCCAAGAATGTACTCCTTTTATACAAATCTTTGGTGCAACTGCACCGAGAATATTGTTTACAGTCCTGGTCACCTTACCTGAACAAGGACATTGTTGTGTTGGAAAAAGCACAGAAAATGCTTGTTGAGCAAAATTTCTAGTACTAAAAATCCACCATTAATCCAGGCATGAATGAAAAACCATCCTATCTCATCCTTTTAATTGCTCCCATGTAAGAAATGAAAACCCTGCTTAACTTTGTAATTCTAAATGTTTTATGTGTTGCTTAGTTGCTATTGGCATGTGTGCACCGAAAAGAAAATACTTTACATAATAAATTCTGCAAAGAGGTGCATTTCCTACTGTCTTGTTAATTATATATACAGTATTCTTTTAAGGAAAACAACCATTCTTCCCTACTCAAATAACTTTAGGCTTTTACTGTGTAGGGATTTCTGCTTAAAAATTATCTGTGCTTTCTATGATCTGAATGTTTTAAATTCAAATAGCTTGAGCTTCTGCTGTGAGGTGGTATAGAAATGTAAATACACACATAACTTTTAGACTTAATAGACATACTTTTCTTATCCTGCGGGGGGAGCTAAATATTCAACAGCATAGCAATGGTTGCTTGATAAACCTGAGGCTGTATCCTGCTCAAAATCTTTAAGTGACAATAATGACTAAGAAATGCGATAAAGAGTAGCTTGGTTTGCAAATAAGTACAAAGGTATACCTTTCAAAGTAGTACCACAAGTTCAAATCGAACATCTGGATGGCCTTTCTTTTCTGGAAATGCAAATTCGGTTCTCCTGTGCCTGTATAGCTCCCAACATATTACACAAGTCCCTTTAAATATTTCAGAAGGTTCTTATTCATGTCATTTTGTCCTAGAAAATGGCACGGCATTAGCCCCAAGGCCTTTTCAGGCAAAAAGAACATCCATTTCATTCTTAATACTACTCGTATATCCATGCTATGCCTGACCCAGTATTACAATTTCCCATTATCTTAGAAGCAGATAGGAACTTGGTTCTGGTGGAGGGTTGGGGTTTTTCCAGCTGCAACCAAAAACTGGGTCTTAACCTGAACCCTAATTTCCCATTCAATGCACATGTCTCCTCAACCATAGCACCCAGTTTCTTGCCAATGGACTTCTGGCAAGGGATGGGTTGCACCTCACAAGGATGGGGAAAAGGTCCTTCAGAAATACTCTAGTGAGCCGGGGGGGGGGGGGGGATTGGGGGGGGGAAGAGGGGGGTGAAAAAGGGGGGGGGGGGGGGGGGGGGGGGGGGTGTTTAGGCAGAGCATCAGTGGTGCAGCAGCAGTGGAGAGGAAGGGAGGTGGGGCCAGAGAGGTCAGAGAGACCCAGGAGGAAGCAGAGGGGCTTATAAAGCTGCACTCAGCTGTTGGCCGCACCAACGGTGTTGCATTAAGGGCGATGTGACTAGGGGCATTACCCCTTGCCAGCCTCCCTTTGCTGCAGCCCAGGCTCCCCAGAGACTCTCTTCCCTTAGGTCATTGCTTGCTTGCTTGCTTGCTTGTTTGCTTTCTTGCTTGCTTGCTTCCTTCCTTCCTTCCTTCCTTCCTTCCTTCCTTCCTTCCTTCCTTAATAATTGCTTCTAATTAGTACTCTGTCTGGGAGAACTAGGTGAGTAAAGTCAGGGAAGGGTAGTGTAGGACAAATAAGGTGGGGGGCAGACAAGACAGGGGAAGTAGCCAGGGCCTGAGATGGCCCTGGCAGGAATCTCAGGTGCTGCTGGCCACTGAGACACCTGTGACATGTTGTCCTTCTCAGAAAAACAAGAATGTAAGAAAAGCCATGCTGAATCAGATCAATGGTCCATCTAGTCCAGCACTCCTTACACAAGGTCACAAACCAGTTGCCCACTGGGTCACTCAAGCAGTTTGGGTAGAAGACCTCCTCCTGCCCAGGCTCCTCAGCCACCGGTGTTTGCA